GTGAGGGACCCAGCCTGAGCAGAGTAGTGTGTTTGTAATTGAAGTGAGTAGAAATACCTTCACAGGGAAGTCCTGGAAATTGCTCTAGTCGTTTGGGATAGCGCATAATGTGATCCAGCAAGCTTGGTTGGGTGAAGCCCACATAGGAGAAAAAAGAAGAATGGCAACATGTTACCGCCCATCTCCTGCTCTCCAATTATGGTTCTGTCAGTTTCATAGGGTTAGAGAAACTCCTTGTCCATATCCAGGCCTGTGACACTGGCCATTGCAAGGGGACTTTGTTTTCCATGTTAGTGATGGAAATGAACCCTTCTTCAGCAAGCTGGGAGACTTCCCATGGTATGCAGAATCTCCTGCCAGCAGGCTTGTGGATGTTTTTCTGGCTGCTGTTGCTGTTGCTGTCTCTGAGAAAGAACAGAGTAGATCAAAAAGTAGCTCCATATTTAGACAGGTTTCAAAATATATTTTCTCATGAACTCTGGAAAGTTAATCTGCTCATTGCTGAGTTAGTCATATTAGCAGCTTTGAATGTGACCTCATGTTCTGTCTCTTTGTTCCATTCTCTGTGGTCACGGCCTTCTTCTTTGCACTTGGTGTAGTCTTTTATGCATATGGTCTCCTACTGCCCCAGACTCCAAGCAGATTGATACTTGAAACTGTGGTTGTGCTTTCCTTTTTCTTCACAACAATTCTTAAGTTTGGAGATATGTTCCCTGTGTGTATGCCTATTTTTAGCTGGGTCTTTTTATCCACTGCCATGACCTGACCTAGAATGTCAGTCCTGGCATTCTGTCTAGACCTTGGGGTTTTGGAGTGTGTAAACATACCACTTAGATAGTGTTCATTACAAGGTGTATCTCTTTGATAAAAGAAGTTGGCTATGCTTGCTTTCATGACTTCCAAATACTTCCTCTTGATTTTCTCCATGTGTTCTCTTTTAACACTTTGGTGTAGTTTGAGGTGGTTTAAAAATTGGCCACATCGTTTGTGTGTGACCCAGAACGTTGTTGAAGAGTTTTCATTGAATATTTACCGCACATTGTGCCAACTTCAGCAAGTTGGATCGTTTTTAAGCCATAGTTTTGAAGACTTAATTTACTAGTTTTAGTTTTCAGGTCTAGTGCCTACTCTTGCTGTGTCACTACACCAACATAATAATTACAAATAGCCTAACTCTTGATTTTGGATTTTTTTTTTTTTTGACTTTTTGAGACAGGGTCTCCCTGTAGCCCCAGCTGGCCTGGAACCCGCTATATAGACCAGGCTGGCCTTGAACTCACAGAGATCCACCAGCCTCTCATTCTGCCTGCCTCTGCCTTCCAAGTTTAAGTTTTTTTTTTTTTTTTTTTTTTTTGGTCTTTTTGAGACAATCTCCCTGTAGCCCCAGCTGGCCTGGAACTCGTTATGTAGACCAGGCTGGCCTCAAACTCATGAAGATCCCTCTTGCTTCTGCCTCCCAAGTACTGGGATTAAAGGTGTGTGCCACCACGCCCAGCTTAAATTTGGTTTTTAAGAGTGGGTCTGAACTCAGAGAGCACTGGTTCCCCTAAAGATTTCTGGGAACCATGTGTCTCCTGGAACTGTACTGATGGAACTGTCTTGCTTGAACTGTGTCCTTGAGCCCAGTCCTACCCATAATTTTATCCAAAATAGTTTCTCCAGCTTCCTGTTTTATATGACTTGACATTAGTTCTTAACATACTGATTGTAACTAATAGTTTTAGCATTAGATTCAACTTGAGGTTATAGCCTTTAGTCTTCATCTCTTATGCATATGGCCCAGATTCCTTTTAGGTGACTGAATTTAAAAACGCCAAGGAAGTTACTTTCTAGGGTGTCTCAGAAGTGAGCCACTGCTTAGTTAAATTGCTTGTGTAGAGTCTAGTTATTCAGGGCCATTGACTGGTGCTCATCTTGTAGAGGACAGAGTACCGATTCTTTTGCTTTTCATCTAGAAACTCAGCTTCCGCCCCCTTTCTGCTTTATTGTCCCAGGCTATTAGGTTCCCCACACTTTGCACTTGTTTGGGGTCTTCCTAAGACATCTCTTCTGAGAAGACACATTTCTGAGAAGCTAGTCCTGTCCTATCTCTGGTGTGGTCAGTCTGTGTAACTTTTATCTAGAAGTTTCAATAGAATTTTGGTATCTACAAAGTCTTTGTCCAGGGCCCTTACAGTTACTGGTTTAACCATAACCTGGAAACCATGGGCACCTTTGAATCTATTTCTGCATCAGTTCATCACTGAGTGTGGTCCACTCTGAGTCCTGCCACTTTTCTAGTCTGCTGTGGACCGTGCTTCATCATGTCCTGCCTATGGTACCATGATAGCCTATCTCCCTGAGCCTACTATAGGTCTCTTGTCCATCCTTCTCCATTCAAACAAGTGTGATCTTTTTGTGTCTCAAAGCTGATCACTTACAGGGCAGGAAGCAGATGAGCAGGATACTGAAAGGGCAGTGAGTCAGATGTGTATAGTGAGGACCCTGTCTGTTGCTTGTCTCCCTGCTGGTATCCTGATTGTAATATTGTACTGCAGTTTTGCAGAGATATTGTTCTTGGGAAACTTGATGACAGGTATGCAGGGGTTGCTTCTTGGAACTACATATGAACCCACTTTTATTGCAATAGATTTTCCATAGGGAGAGGTGGAGATTTCTATCCTGTTTAGAATTCTGGTGCTTTCCTGTTCCTCTTTGGATAAAGACTGAAGATCTGAATATGATTTATGTACCTAACATCATTTGGAGTACCTGTTCCTGCCCTTTGTTCCATCCTAGTTTCTTACTGTGTTCTGGAACCTTTGGCCTTCTTTTGCTATCCTTGTCAGGTTCTTTTCATAGTCTCCAGCTAGCTTCTTTCTACCCAGGGGGCATTCATTGTATTTGGGTAATTCCTTCTCCTCCCCACAACCCCCAATAGCAATTCTACTTGCATTTTTTTTTAAATTGAAAATTAATTTATTTTTATTTTATATGTGTGTGTGTGTTTTACCTGCATTTAAGTACACCTCTGTCATACAATGCCTGCGGAGACCAGAAAAGAGCATTCGATCTCCTGGAACTAGAGTTACAGACAGTTTTTAGCCTCCATGTGGGTGCTGGGAACTAAACCTGGGTCCCTGCAAGAACAGCCAGTGCTCTAACTGCTGAGCATTCTCTCCAGCCCTGATTTTCATTTCTTAGGGACCCCTTTCCTGATTATCTAGACTCTTCTGTTGACTTTAGAGCTCACAAAATGCCTGGTCCATTTATAGCAATCATAATTTGTCACCCCCATTTTTTTTTTTTTGTGGTTCTTTAATTCATGCATGTTTCTTCACTAGACTCTGAGGAAGTTGGGTCTTTGCTTTTTTCCCCAGCATGGGGGGCAACATGTGCAACATGAAATGAAAGGCGCTGCCCTCCTCGCGGAAGGGTTTGGGTGTGTAGGCCAAGGGAGGAAGTCCCAATCCAGATAGGTAACTTACACTTTCTTCCCAGACCATGAATTAGAATTTCTCTCCGAGTGGTAAAAATAAACTGCATGTCACAGGGGAATTTAATGGAAGTTTAGATAGGACATGACTGAGCTAGATGTTGGCTCTCCATCTTAATGGCTAAATTGGCCAAAGGGCCACCTTAGACTCCAGGTTGTTTTGTGTCCAGTTTTGAATTTGTTGTGTATATAGAATTAGCTTGGAGCTAGGAGGACTGTTTTATTTTCCTTGATTGGCAGAATTCTCTGTTGTTAACTGAGTACGGCCCGACTAAAAGTAAGGCCCTATCTGTGTGTGGCTGTGATTCAGTGATTGGAAATGGCCAATGTTCCTAAATCGTGGGCAGTAGAAGCCACTCTAACTGTTGTGAGTAGTGAGCAGTACTGATTAGCAATTGGAAAGTTTGCGTGCATGATTTTTGGAAAGCCCAAGATCTTCTTTCTCTTGGCTCTGGTATAGGCAGAAGCAGTCAGGGGAAATGCTGAGCTTCACTAAAGGAATATTTGGACAGAAGGTCATGGCTGCTACTTGTGTGATACTTTTGTTGCAGGGGAGTCTAAGAAATAATCCTCTTTGCTCTCCAGCGTCTAGTGTACAAGAAAGTGTATAGAACCTAATGCTATGTGACCTAGTTTGCCCTGTCTGCCATAGCCTGTGAGAGACTGACCATCACAGATAGGCCTCATTTGTTAGTAACTGTTTGATTTAAATCCTGAAGATGATACAGTCTGCTACTGCATATTAGGAATTTTACATGGGACCATATAATGATGTTCTTTTAGATGTCCAAAGGTGGATTTTGCCTATGTTGATCTTTGTAGATCTGTGTTTTTGCATAATATCCGTGCATTTGCATGTTCATTTATGTAATGTTATTACTGTGAATACTAAATATGGGCCGTGTCATACTACATTAGACCCTAATAATACCAGGTAGATAAGACAGTTTAACCAGGAAGGTCTCAAACTTGATGCATAATGTTTTCAACATTAAAATTAACTGGTAAAGGGGCTGGAGAGATGGCTCAGAGGTTAAGAGCACTAGCTGCTCTTGCAGAGGATGTGGGTTTCATTTCTACTACCCAAACGGTAGCTAACAATAGTCCATAACTCCAATTCCAGTGGATCCACCCTCTTCTGACCTCTGAGGGCATGGCAGGACATGGGTGCGCTTACATACATGCAAGCAGTACACATACACATCAAATAAAAATAATTAATTAATTTTAAAAAGTAACTGATAAAGTTAAAAAAAAATCCAACATTTTGAATTTATATGCATTATCTGCCACACCTGCCAGCATCAGGTTCCCAAATAAAGATGACAGAGAAAGTCCAGAGACTTGTATCTGTTGATTTTCAAGTGTTCTTCCTTGGTAAAGATTCATTGGTCTAGTTGTTCAGAAAGAAATATTTTGTTTTATTGCTATTGAAAACAATTTTGTGTTTAAATTGGCAGTAGTTTTTTCCAGCTTTATTTGCTTTAAGAAAGTTTTTAAAATATGTGTTTTTCCCCCCTGACAGGGGCAGAATTACCTGGGCAAGTGATCTCCATGGCAGCTTCTACTCTGGCAAACTTGGCTATCTCCATCACAGGGTATGAATCTAGCAGTGAAGACCAGCCCTCTCCTCGGCCTGCAGGTGACCAACATCACGAAGGCATTCTGAGTTGCTCTGGAAAATGTGGTTAGAAGTAGGCTCTAGAATTAAGAGGGGAATGCTAGCACCACACAGTGCACCTTGGGCTTGCTGGTCCCTTATCGCTTCTTTCCGATTGTGGGATTTCACCTTTGTCCTTGTGTATCCCTTTTCTCATACTTCTGATTACCTACCTTCTTGGGCTTCATAACCTGGCTCTTTCACCTTTGAAATAATACTTTTTTTATATTCCTTTTCTCACTGTTTTTCTTTCCTTATGTCCCATTCACCACACACAATCCCCTGCTCCCCTTATTTTGCTTTCCTGTTTTCTGTTTCTTCTCCAGCAGTCAGTTCTTCTACATTATTTTGTTTGTTCTGTTGCTTCATGCTTTTTCTTCCCCTTCCAACTCCCTGTCTACTGTAGCAGAATGCTTTTCATTTCCATGTTTAATGCATCCTTCTCTTGTATTTAAGTAAAAGTACGATTTGTTTGTCTTCTGCCTCCTAACTGCTGGAATTAAAGGCATGACCCACCACACATGGCTCATGTTTTAGGATCTTAATTTCCATTGTCCTGGTATATTGAGTAATAGTGCCTTAAGAACTATATACTTTCTGATTTGTATGTCTTGTCAAAACTAGGAAGTAGAAATAACATATTTCTACAGTGAAATATAACATAGTTGTTGCATTGTTAGAAACCAGTGCCTTATGTGATATAATCCACCGTAGTTTCCTTTATTTTAAAACTCTTCATTCTAACATCTGTTGTTATTTTAACTCACTCAAAGACCTGTTTGAAAACCCCGGGTTCTGAAAGGAGCCTTTTTTCTATTTTCGGTAAAATGACCCTGGAAAGTCATATTGTGTCATGATGTATGTAACTAATCTAAAATTCAATTATAGAGGAATAGGGCCTGGGATGTAGCTAGTGGTAGAGCACTTGCCTAATACGCATGAGACCTGGGTTCCATTGCTGGCACTGCAAAAGCAAGCTAGAAAAGGATGAAATTTTAAATATAAAAGTTCTGGTGTGTATGTTTGTTGCTTTGTATTGTTTGAGTACTTTTGGGGGGTAAGTATAGTGCTCAGCTGATTGGTCATATACTTTTCTCTAATTTTGTTTAAGTATGTATATACTAGTCATCAGCCTGATCTATATAAAGAAAAAGTAAAACATAACCTGCTTACCAACTCTATCTCCAAACAAACCAATTTTCCACCAGTGTTCAATGCAAACACATGGAAACCTGTCTCTTTGCCCTAATGGGATCAGGTTGCACATGCTATTAGTCTGTTTTGAAGACCTAAAGTAGGGTAGCCTGATGAATAAGGTTGTGTATTGCTGTTTTCCTAATGTGGACTGATAGGATGTCATATTTCTTTGCCTTTTCAGAACCCACAGACAGGGGAGAACCACCTCCAACAGTGTCTGCCTCATCTTCATCCTCCTCTCATTCCTCACCCTCCTCTCCTTCACCCACTCTGGGCAGACAGAGGCCTGAGATGGGAACATTTCTCAGAAAGAAGAAAACTAGTGACATCTACTTTGTGTGTCTTGTGTGGGCCATCATTGCTGTCCAGGTCTGGCTGAACTTGTGGATTGTGCAGCTGTTGCCGGTGCCCGTTGCAGGTTGTTATCTGGTTAAGTATGGTTTTATCTTGTTGCCACAGACCTTTTTCTACTTTTATTGCTGTGGGATTTTAATATTTGAGATAATTTTATTGTCATCTTCCTTAAAAATAGTTGTATATTTGTATTTGGGTCTTCAGCACACATTGCGGCTATTTATATTTTGATATTACTTTTAATATTTCATGTTAATTTTCAAAATGTATTTAGCCTCTTAAAATTTCATACAGTATTTGAGATTATCATCTCAGATAATTCAATTCTCCACATAAAGAATTGACTGTTAGAAGCCAGGCATGGTGGTGCATGCCTTTAATCCCAGCACTTGGGAGGCAAAGGCAGGGGGATCTCTGTGAGTTTGAGGCCAGCCTGGTTTACATAGTGAGTTCCAGGTCAGCTGGGGCTACAAGGAGACCCTGTCTCAAAACAACCGAAGAAGAGAACTGACTGTTTAGCTGCCCATGGCTCTGAGGAGAATGCTAACAGCTATCTATGTTTATGAATGAATTTAGAGAGCTACTCTTAAGGAAGTACATTTGCCTTTGCAGTTTTACTCCAGGGGAGATGAAGGCTTTAAGAATTTCTCTCTCTGTCTCTTTCTCTCTCTGTCTCTGTCTCTCTGTCTCTGTCTCTGTCTCTCTCTCTCTCTCTCTCTCTCAGTATATCAAAATGGAAAATGGAACCAACCTTTTCTGTAAATTATTGGTGCTCTACATGGCCATTTAAGGCCCTCCTGTATTGTGTTGCTTTTCACTAAAGCTGTCTTCTAAGACTGGCAAGAATTAGAGTTTTCTCTGGCATTATACAAGTAGTTTAAAATTTTTACTTTGGAGGGGATACTTTCCTGGCTATTTGGGTTCTCCTCCTATTGTGATCTATTCTATGCCAGATTTGTCCTCAGCAGAGGCTGGGATTCTGCTGTCCAGGAACCTCCTGAATTTGAGTAGCCCCCATCTGCTAGGTCAGGATTTTCAATTACAGCATGATTTTTAGAAGCATATTCTCTTCTATAGTCCCCAAATCTGTACTTATTTGCCCATTTACCTTTTAGGTAGTTTTCACCACTTACTAAGTTGCCAGGTGTTTAACTGAGTTAGCTATTAATTTTAAACACTTATTTGACAAGTGCTTTGTATTGTGCCTGTCCTTAGGAAACATACAGAGTTGAGTGGTCAGAGTTAATATTTGCTGCTTAGAATCTTGTGCAGAACTTTTGGTGGCTTATCAGACAATATATTCGTAGTTAAACAAGTCCCTGGAAATGGCTGTGCATTCTGTTAAGGCATTTATAGAAATTCTAAGTGAAACATAGCTCAGATGGCTCTTCTAGATTGTGCTATCCTTTTTTGGTTTTGTTGGGTGGTTTCTTCATGTTGCAAATCGTGTGTGGGTTGCTGTTGAAACCTCCTTTTCCTTAAAGCTCCTTAGCAGGACTTAGATTTCTCCTGGTCGTAGCTGAATCTTCTAATCATCAAATGAATTTCACATGGCCTTGGCTTGTGAACTTTCAATACAGTAGTTTCTGGAAGGTTTTTTTTTTTTTTTTTATAGTCTATAATGCCAGGGGCTTATTCTAGAAACAATAGGAGCATTCCAGGGATTTAAAAAATGCTAACAAAGGAATTTTGAACTGTCATGTCCCATTGCTCTTTCAGGTTGAAGGTCAGGGTGAAGATCAGAGAAATGATAGTGGGAAGGAGCAGTCACCTGGGTCTGACCTTCTTCCAGCCTCTTCCTAGTTGACTTTAGCAGGGAGCTTGCTAGCAGCCCTGCTTGCATTCAGCTGACTTCTTGGCTGAACCCTAAGTTCTCTTCAGATGTACAGAGCAGCATCAAGTGTGGAGACAGAAGCACAGTTGAAACACTGCCTGTACTGATAAAAAGTCATCATGCAAGCAGATTCCTGGTGCTTTCCTGGTTGGAAATGTCAAACATCTAACAAAAAGGAGTTGCTGAAGAACACCTGTGCTAGCCAAGGAAGTTAGGAAGTGTTGGCCTTTAGTTTTCCTTAGTCAGGAAGAGGGAAGCTGTGAAGGCCATTTGTAGTTCATGTTTATTGGCTAGAGAATAAGTCCTGACTTGTCCAGGGATTCAGCCTTATGAAGATGAGATGTAGGTAGTGGGTCTTTTTGAAGAATATGTGTACTTGGCTTCTGGAATACCTTGAGGTTCCCCCTGCCCTCCTTTTTTGACATTAGTACTGACTTTACTGTTTAGAAAGGAAACTAAGGAACTTTCCATATTCTGTCTTTCTAATGTATATTCTGTCTGTCTCTATGTTTGTGTCTTCTCTATAGTCTGGATAATCAAAAAGCTTGTGATTCACTTTGGAGTGGTGGACTTCCTGCAGAAACGCTGTCGTGTGTGGTGGCAGGTTATCGAATGCTTCCTGAAGGAGCGGCAGGAGGCTTTAGCACCATGGCCAATTATCGGGCTTGGAAAGTTCTTACTAAAAGTTGATAGCAAGGTATTGTATGAGCTTGAGCTTGGACTGCTTCCGTGGAGTATGTGTTTTATGGCTTGAAATATTCCATTTTGTAAAATGTAGTGTTAATTTTGTAACTGTTAATAGCGTATTTAATATCTAATTTTATATAGAAATTTAAAGCTTAGAATTATGGTTCATGTAAGGATAGAGTGGATTTAGATTAAGTATCTTGGTGGGTTTTTTTTTTTTTTTTTTCCCCTCTTAAAAAGGAAAGAGAAGGCTCCTAGGGAACACCTAGTTTGACTCCTTCACTTGATTAGGACTAGATTGAAATCCAGAGAGTTTAAGTAATTAGTTACTCAGATTGGTCAACATTTTTGGAGTTATTCCTGTTTGTCAGCTGTTGTGCTAAAGTTCCAGGGAAACTCGGACCAATCATGCACAGCCAGACACAGAAATCTACTTAGTGTCAAGAACCAGCAGTCCCTGAGGAGTCCAAGGCTCAGTGACTACAGAACATGGACTTTAAATCCAGACTCTGCCTTCAAGAGCCCACTTCTGCTACTTACTAGCCCTGTGGCCTTGTGCAGATTTCTTTTTTTTTTGTCTTTTTGAGGCAGGGTCTCCCTATAGCGACACCTGGCCTGGATTCTCTAGGGAGACCAGGCTGGCCTTGAACTCACAGAGATCTGCCTGCCTCTGCTTCCCAAGTGCTGGGATTAAAGTTGTGTGTCACCACGCCCGGCTTGGGCAGGTTTCTTAGCTTCTGTGCCCTGGTTTCATTTTCAATAAAATGGATATATAATAGCACTTACTTGTTACGTGGTTGTGAGGGCTGAGTTAGTATATGTGAAAGCCCTGCATCAGTGCCTGGGGTATTCAGTAAGTGTTAGCTGTTGCTATAGTTTATATAGAACCCACGGATGTGGGACAGACTCCTAGCACTGAGCCAAACAGGCCTTGCAGAAGTGATGCTCAAGCAAATTGTGAAGGCCAAGTCAGTGTTTACAAGGTAGGTGTGGCCGGAAGAGCAGTGCTAGGAGCAGTGCAAAGGTAGAGGCACTGGGTTCTAGATGGTTTGGGTCATTTATATGGTGTTAATTGCTGGATTCCAATAAAATTTGTGGTTACTTTTTCCAGCCATTGTGATTTTAAAGGAATATCGCCTGGTCTCAATTAAAAGCCTGTTTCTGTGTTGTAGGCTCTTCCTCTAGCTTTCCTGACAGGCTCCTCCTCATGCCCTCAGTGACTTTTCTTTTCGTGCTGTTGTTGCATTCTCTAATGATATCCCACTGTTCTCTTCTCTTCCTCACCTTACCCCCATCTTCAAGCTCTGGCACTGGCTAAATAAGAAGGTAAATGAACACACAGATGTTGGTTTTCACTACTGAATTGTATAACCCTGCCTCCCTCCACCCCTCGGTTCCCCTGTGTCTTCCTTTCTCATTCTGTGTTCTGTCTATATGTCAGACTAAGCTTTGTTTTTAAAAGTCTAACTTTAAGCTATGGAAGGTCATGAACACTGCCAGCAAGGGCTCCTAGACTGTGAATGGGCCTCCTTGTCCCACTATTTCTGAAGTTACATTCTGTGGTCCTCCTGTCCACTATAAGTGGTTTCCGTGCCTCTTCTCTGTAATGTGGCCATTCTAGTCTCTGTCTCTGTCTCTTTTTCCTTTGAGATAAGGTCTTCCTGTGTAGTCCAGACTGGCTTATATGTTCCTGCCTCAGCCTCCTTAGTGCTAGGATTATAGGAAGGTACTATCATGCCTGGCTCTGGTCTCCTTTGATGTGTTATAAATGACACAGGAATTTTTAAAATACTGCCAAATTTATGTTTTATTTCTTGGCTAGTAATTTTTTTTGTTCTTTTTTATAACTAATAGTCCAAAAACAACTTTTTTTTTTTTTTTTTAAAACTTAAGATAGTCTGTGGTCATGGCTTATGACATCTAATATTGTGTTTCATGAGTCATGAGATTTGTCAGTGGGAACCGCTTCCCATGAGTAGCATGGCATTGTAATAGGTGTATCTCAGATACATTCCTAAGGCCACTCTACAGATACTAGGAATATTGTGACTTTAACATTTAGTTGGGATACAGTAGTGTTTCACTTTCGTATCCTTGGGACAGATTCATAAGAGGTGATGTCATGTATGTAAATTTCAGTAAAAATGTTGTAACAGCTGGGCGTGGTGGCGTACTCCTTTAATCCCAGCACTTGGGAGGCAGAGGCAGGCAGATCTCTGTGAGTTCAAGGCCAGCCTGGTCTACATAGTGAGTTCCAGGACAGCTGGGGCTACAGGGAGACCCTGTCTCAAAAAGACAAAAAAAAAAAAAAAAAAAAAAAAAAAAAAAAGTAACAGTCCTTAAAGATGTGAAAATAGATGAAAATTACATATTTTTTTTCAGTATTTATTCATTTATTCACTCATTCATTTGTTTGTTGCTTGTTCTTGTGGTGCTGAGGATTACACACTCAGGCCTTGAGCATGCCAGGCAGTCATCATATAACTGAGCTAGGCTGCTAGTTGTAAATGTGACTTTTGAATTTTGAGATGAGGGTTTCATTTTTTCCCCTGTTGAAATGAAGAAAAGGGAAGACTTGACAGCACCTAAGGTTTTTTTTTTTTTAATATTTTATTATTTTTATTTTATGTGTATGAGTGTATTGTCTGCATATATGTGAGTGCACCCATGTCATGCAATGCCACGGAGGTCAGAAGAGGGCTTCAGATTCCCCTGGAACTGGAGTTAAGGACGGTTTGTAGCCACAAACCCTCTGCCTCCCATGTGGGTGCTGGGAATCTAACCCGGGTCCTCTGCAAGAACAGTCAGTGCTCTTAACCACTGAGCCATCTCTCCAGCCCCAACAGCACCTAAGGTTTTAAACTTTGTGTTGCAGACAAGCAATGTGTAAAATACATTTCTGGCTCTTCCACCCCACATGTCCTTGTGTGCACTTCCATTCCCTATGAACTCAGTTCCAGTACATACATGTAATCCTTACAGATAAAACACACATTTATTTAATTAATTAATTAATTTATTTATTTATTCGATTAAAGTAAAGTCTAGTTCATGTGTACTGAAATGAAATTGTCCTCAAGGGTGAAAGAACTGAATTCAGTTAGTTTAACTTGATCTGTCCTTAGTGGACTGAGTAAGCGGGAAAACTTAATTTATAAGCCTAACATACAGCCAAAAAAGTTTAGTTTTAAAAGATCCATGAGATGAAGAAGCTGTCTTTGACAATCCTATGTAGCATACATAACATGGAGTTAGTGTGGAGTTAAAGAACAGCTGTCTGTGTGTTCTAGGGAAGCACGTGTGGGTACTGAGGCCTCTATTACATAGTTTCTAGTTTTGCACCAGAAATGGTAGGTAATTTGGGTTCTAGTGGAGAATGGAGAAGAGGTGATGAAAGAGCATGCCTCGTTCCTTTACCTGATCCTTAGCTCTGTTTCTCAGGCTCATTTTTTTATTTCTCAGTATTGATTGTTTACATGAAGAAAGCTAGAATATTGAAATAGACTCAGTAATGGAATGATGCTCCTTATGGGGTTGGTGGTCTTTTTGAGACAGGGCCTCCCTGGCTTGGAACTCATTATGTAGACCATGCTGGCTTGAAACTCAGAGATCCGCCTCCCTCTGCCTCCCAGGTGCTGGGGTTAAAAGTATGTACCAACACTCCTGGCTTGGAATGATGCTTACAAGTTTTAGAGTAGGTTTTAGTATAATTAAGTTTACCGGTGTTTCTAAATTTTAAAATGCATGCTCTATTCATATTTGAAATATTTAGCATGCCATTTTAAAGTGATTCATCGTCTTTTAAAAACTAAACCTTAAAAGTTAAGTAATTGGTCTTAGGCTGGAAAGACCAGGGAGATTCGTAAAATACCACATGGAGTTTCCATCCATAGGTCTCATTCCATAGTCACTCAGCTTGCTTCTTTTCCTCCATCCTAGTTTACTATTTATTCTACTTTTTCATTTCAACTGATACTTAGTTTTATGTACTTTTCCCCCCTCTTGGGACTGTTTAAAAGTCCACCCTTTTTTATAAGACTTCCTATCATTCTTTTTTTTAGTGTATTTCTTGTAGTCTTTTTTTTTTTTTTTTTTTTTTTTGGAATCTTGTGGAGGACCTGGGTTCACTTCGCAGCACCCACATGGCAGCTACGAACCGTCCTTAACTCCAGTTCCAGGGGAATCTGAAACCCTCGTCTGACCTCTGCTGTACTGTACAACATGGGTGCACTCAGTTTTTAACTTTTAGCTCTTGCTCTTAGCTCTCAGGTATAAATTCTTGTTAGGTCACTCAATCCTGGGATATGTGGCAGGATGGATAGATCAAAAGCCTCAAAATCCTAAGCAAGTATTTTATATTTAATTCCCAACAAAATTGGAATTGGGAAGATTCTATCCTAGTTTAAAAATACAAGTTTGATTTTTGTCAGTGAATACATTTGTGGTGCCCCATGTTTTATGTGTTAATACACTGATAAGAAGTTAGATCTCAGCTGGGCATGGTGGCGTACACCTGTAGTCCCAGCACTTGGGAGGCAGAGGCAGGCAGATCTCTGTGAGTTCAAGGCCAGCCTGGTCTACATAGTGAGTTCCAGGAGCTGTTTGCTCTGTTTAAAAAAAAAAAAAAAAAAAAAAAAAAAAAAAGAAGTTAGATCTCTACTTTCTTCTACTTTCTCAAGAGATCATTTTCATTTAAACATATGCTTCAGGATATGATTTCCTTTTAAGAAAAGTCTCCTATATTACTTTTAGAAATGGTTATTTGTGGAAGCAAATCTGTATTTGTAATTCTGAAATTTTGAAGTTACTTTCTAGTTCTCATGCTAGCAAGTGCAGGATCTCTAGGCTCTGGAGTGCCAAGGACTCATGCAGTAGCGGCCCTTGCCTCAGGGAGCTGCTTCAGGAGCTAGGTGTTCAGAGGCTTGTGATTGCAAACCTTCATGCCTGACCTTCCATATCTTAGAAACCTGATACTTCTGTTTGCTTGATTTTTGTTGTTGTTTTTTGCTCTCTGCATTGTCTTTGATGCTTTAGAAGCATGCACTGAAATTTACCTCTTCTCTTTAAAGCTCTGATTGTGAAGATGATAGATTAACTTTTTGTCTCTAAATTCACTCTGGCATTGTTCATGAAAGGCATTGTCCTTAGGACTGGAGAGATGGCTCAGTGGTTAAGAGCATGCACTGCTCTTCTAGAAGACCCATGTCCAGTTCCTAGCACCTGCATGGCAGCTAACAACCATCTGTAATTCCAGTTCCAGGGGATCCCATGGCTTTTTCTGGTCTCCATGGGCATTACACACACATATGGTGTACTTAATACATTCAGGCAATATACTCATACACATAAAATTTTTAAAAATTAAAACATATTTAAAGCGGGGGAAGGGGCAGGCTAGATGGCTCAGCAGTTAAGAGCACTGGCTACTCTTGCAGAGGACCCAGGTTCAGTTCTCAGCACCCACTTGACAGCCAGCAACCACTTGTAACTCCAGTTCCAGGGGAACCAGTGCCGTCTTCAACATGGGTTCTTTTACATACAAGCAGGCAGAACATTCATACACATAAAGTAAAAAATGTTTAAAAGGCAGTGTCTTCTATGAAAGAATTCAGCAAGCTTCTAAACTTCCATTGGAAAATGAATGTTTTAAAAGTTGTGGTTTTTAAACAAATATTTGTTGCTTATCACTGTTTTTAGAGCATAGTTCCAATTTAAATTAAGAACAACTTAGCAATATTATAGCTCATGCTGGGGTTGAAGGGTACAGTGTGGCATGCTAACATTTATTGATCTAATTAAGTACAATTTTGAATTTTAAATGGTGGCTTTACATGACAGGAAGAATAGAAATCTATCAATTAAATGTATATTCTGAAAAATCATTTGCAATGTAGAATTATTTTGTTGTGAAAGATGAATAACATTGTAGTTAAGATAGAGTATCAAATAACATTTAGGGAGACTATAATTTTAATTGTTGATTAAAGAACAACCACTATATTGAGAATTAATATACTTCATTGGGTTAGAATCATGTCATAAAGCTTGTTTTCAGTAGAATAGAAACCATAAATGGATTATCAGACTTCTAAAAGCATTTTGTTATTGAAATAATAAAAAATTAAAAATTTTGGTGTCAGGGAGAGTTCAGTTTTCAGGACCCACATTGTGGAAGGAGAGAAGCTGCTCCAAGTTGTCCTTTGACACACGTGCACACTGCCCTCCCCCTATGAATAAACAAATGTTATTAACTGTAAAAAAAAAAATTAAAGCCTTAAAAAAATACCTCCTACTCAAAAGCAAAACCAAAAACCCACTCACCTACTCACCTACCCTCCAACTAAATGCACCCACATGGATAAATAATTGTCTACAGCTTGTGCATCCTCTTCTCAGTGTCTTGTGCTCTGGGGAACTGTTATTCTGAATTTACTATTTATGATTGCCTTAACAGTAGCTTTTAAAAAAATTATTTTTGGGGCTGGAGTGATGGCTCAGCAGTTAAGAGCACTGACTGCTCTTGCAGAGGATCCAGATTCCATTCCTAGCACCCACATGGCGGCTACGAACTGTCCTTAACTCCAGTTCCAGGGGAATCCGAAGCCCTCTTCTGGCCTCCGCAGCAGATGGAGTACACGATGCGGGTGCACTCACTTAACATGCAGGCAATACACTCATACACATAAAATAAAAATAATAAATAAAATATTAAAAAAAATTATTTTTATGAAGCTGAGTGTGGTGGTGCACACCTTTAATCCCAGCAGTCTGGAGGCAGAGACATGTGACTCTCTGAGATTGAGGCCAATCTGGTCTACATAGCAGGTTCTATGCCAGCTGTGGCCACATGGAGACCCTGTCTCAAGAAGACCACATATACATAGGACCCTAATGAAAGGGAAAAGCATTTGAGATGTAACTGCTATTGTACTTTGCTTCTATTTTTCTATATAATTTAGAAGATGACTGTTACAAGGAATGTTCTTTTTCTAAAATCATTTGTATTTGCTATAGCTTCATGAGACTTGAGGTCACCTAAGGGACTGTCATTATTTTGTTTAGAAATATTTTTCAGGTTACAAATTAGAGTTTGAATTGTGGCTATAGCACAGTTTGGGAATTCAAGTCTACATGTAGGTGATGTTCATGTAGATTGCCTTCTCATAGTTACGACAATGAACACTTTTCTTAGTAACAGCAGTGACTAATGCTATTAGTTTTTTTTTTTTTTTAAGTTGCTTATAGCTTTTACTACTTTAATCAGTGTGTCATAATTTGCTTTGCAATGCTGGTATCTAGGCTTTTTGATATTTGAATACATACATGTTTTAAGTTGTACTTTAAACATAAGTAATTCTCTTTTTCATTTCTGTACAGATGATCATCTGGTTGGAGAAGATGTTAGATAAAATTATTAGCATTTTCATCATATTTTTGCTAGTAATAGGAACCCTTCTTTTAGCTCTTCTCCTGACTGCAAAGGTAAAGTACAATCCCTTACTGTTCCTATGAGTAAAGTCCTGGTTGTCACCTAAGGCTCTTAGAAGCCTCCCAGAAAGTGTTATCTGGTTTATTAGACTATGTACAACCAATAAACTATTTCCAACTTGTATATTACTAGTTTTGCCATGAGCCTGGCTAGTATATTTTCTTTTAAAATTGCTTTTTCATGCATTTTTGTTTTGTCACCATAATCCTCAGAGGCAAATACAATTAGAAAAAAAAAAACAGAAGACAGATACTGAAAACAAGGGCTCTTTTCCACCCTTAGTAATAGGAGGGTTCTGAACTAGACTCTTTGATTCCTTATCTCCTTAGTGCCTGTTCCATTTCCTGCTCCCTCTCATCTTGGAGCTCTTGTTGTGTTGCCTTCTGCCTGTATTTCAGGTGCTGGCCTCAAACTGCCAGGCTCAAATGATTCCTGCCTCAGGCTTCTGCATACCTGCAAGTACAGGTGTGCACCACCACACCCACCGTCCGCATTCTTCATCTGCTCTTGTCTCACTTGTCTTCCTGCTAAAATATCTAAGCTCAGTGCAGTCCCCTTTGGCTTGTTGCCTGTGCTTTTCGTGTCTCTTTTGGAACTCCATCCTACGGCCTTCGCATGACCATTGCTAACCCCAGGTCAGGACAGCTGTGCTTACCCCCAGGAGACCCTCACAAGATTGGCCCCACTAGCCTTCTTTCATAGAGCAGAGGGAAGTCTCACTGGGCTCACCAGGCAGCTCACACAGGGTCTTTATATCTTGTTTTCCAGATCCTTCGGCTTACATTTCCCATTTTCATCTCATTGAAAATGGTCTTTCCCTAAAGCACAGCTGAAATTTTATCCCTGCAGTGGTTTGCTTGACCAGCTTAAGTATCTTGGACTTTTTTGGTGCATTTTTCAACTTTGTCTATCTGAACTCTTTTAAATTCCTTTTTTAAAAATTTATTATTTTTATTTTATGTATATGAATGTATTGCTTGCATGTGTGTAAATGCACCCGTGTCATGCAATGCCCACGAGGTCAGAAGAGGGTGTCAGATCCTCTGGAACTGGAGTTAAGGTGGTTGTTAGCCACCATGTGCGTGCTGGGAATTGAACCCGGGTCCTCTGCATGATCAGTCAGCGCTCTTAACCACTGAGCCATCACTCCAGCCCAGAACTCTTTTAAATTCTATGTGCAGATTTTGCTATTTGTTTTCAAAGGATTGTGAAGCTTACATGAAATGGGTAGCAAAACTTTACTCTGAATTTTGCAAAGATACGTTTGTAACTGTCATCAGTGGATAATCCATTCTGCAGCAGTTTGCTAAAGCATTCCCTTGTTTCTTACTATGGGCTGTCTCCACTTGGGAGTCTTGTTCTCATCCACCAGCCTCGTTATAGCCTCAAACTTTCTGTTTGCTCTTGGCAGCCTGCTCTATTAGTTCTGTTTCAGTCTCTGGAGTGCCCGACTGCTCTTTGGGTATCATATATAGTCACTTAATGTATGCTGCACAGACTTGAACCCTTTCTTTGCTTTTGTCATGTTTTCCCTGGAATTGCTGTTACACAGTCTTCCTTTGTTCTCAGAGAATCGCTTCATCAGTCAGGTATTTTCTTTCCTGCTTTTGTTCTACTTTCCTCTGTTGATTTGCACAGGGTTTTTGCCCTCCCTTCTCAACTGTGTTCATCTTTCAAGTGCTTTTCTTTGTTTATTCTATGCTTCACTGAGCTCTTACTTCCAACTTCATTCTTAGGTATTATTGAACCATTTTCTTTCTTGTCTAGGATTTATGCAAACTGAACTTTTGAGGGAGCCTTCTTGGGTATCTGGTTAATTCTACTATCAGTAAAGGTATCATTGTCCAGAATACCACCAGGATAGTATTTACTTGAATGTCTAATAGATGTCTCAGATGTAACAAACCAGAAACTGCACCTTGTCTCACTTACCTGGTCTTCTCATAGTCTTCCTGTTTCAGTAAGTGACAACTCCATTCTCCTTGCTCAGTGAAGAGCCTTGTTCAATTTTGACTATACTCTGTGTTTGTATTTGCTTTTACTTGTGAGAAATTATTTTGGGTTTAGCCTGCTAGTATATCCTAGGGATAACAGCAGAGTGATGATGTCAAGTAATTTCCTCTCCATGGAACCAAGAGTAAAACACTAAAGTTATTATTAATGTCATTTAAAGGCATTGGAAAATGACCAGCTAGGGTAATGTTGGCTTGGAGTTGCCACAAATCCACCTTTCTGAAGGACTTGTTCTTTGCATGGAAATGTTTAAGATTGCTGCAATCCCACTTGCCTTGTTGCATGTGCTCTTGATGTCTCTTGTGGTACTTGTCCTGTGGCCATGGCATGACCATTGCTGACCCAAACTCAGAACAGCTATGCTTACCCACCAGTGACAGTCACAAGATTAGGTCTACCAACCTTCTCTCATTTGGGGTGGGATGTCTCACTAGGGTCACAGGATAGCTCACCAGAGGTGCATAGAGTATATGAGGGATAGTGGCGGGGTGGGGATGACTTTTCACTTTTCCTTGGTGATACAGCTTCCTGTAAGTTGCCCATGACCTTGGAGATAACCACTTAACCATACTTCTGTAAGTAACTCCACTTAAACTCATTGGTTCACCACCAAGCAGGACTTAGAATTGGTTCTTTGATCTGTTGTTGGTACCCTGTGTGGGTTGCATAGGTGTTTGTTCACATTTCCCCAGAAAAGTTACCCTAACAGTGTCATACCTATGAAATCATTTCCAAGTCCAATTGGCGGTGACTAGAACCTCAGCGACACTAACAAACATTCTAGTGGATATGGGATTAGCATCCCAGGAGATGGGAAGACGAAGGCAAAAGTAGAAACAAGTATTTGTGGAAAGAATGATTGAAAACTAGTCCAAGAATTTCAACAAACCCTCAGAATAAACTCAAACCCCAAACCTTACATTGGGACACCCCACTGAAGCTGCTCAAAGCCAAAGATAACAATCTTGAAAGAAGTGACCACACACATCATATACAAGGGAACAGAGCAATTTGTGGCAGTTTTCGTACTTAACAGTGCATGCCGAAGACAAAAAGTGATCAATTTAAAGCCAAAGAAAAAGAAACCTGACAACCAACAATTTTGTATTCAGTGAAACTATTCCTTGAAAATAGAGGCAAAGGAGCTGTGAGTAGGTCTCTGTTGTCCAGCACTTAACCAGTATCCCCAAGGTACACTGGCTTTAATCCTCAGTGCATGCTTTCTTCCCCTTCAAAAAAGCAAAATAAAGCATTTCCAGATAAACTAAAACTGAGAGTTCATTGATAGCAGGTTTGTACTGTAAGGCATGCTAGAGGAATTGCTTCCAGCTGGGTGTGATGGACATACCAGTGATCCTACTCCAAGCTATGTACTGAGGCTTTACCTTTAGAACAAACAACTTTGAAAAGTGAATGTCTTTCAATGAAAAGAAAGGACTCCAGAGATAACTTGGTTCCAAAGAACAGAATGGAGAGTAACTTGGTAAATATGTGGGTATATTAGGAAGCTTACATATTTTCTCTGTGTGTACTTTAAACATTTTTTAAAATTTATTTTTATGTGTATAAGTGTTTTACCTGCATGTGCATAAGTGTACCTACCACATGTGCGCAGTGCCCACAGAGGCCAGAAGAGAGCATTGGATCCCCTGGAACTAAAGTTACAGATAATTGTGAACTGCCATGTAGGTACTGGGGACCAAACCAGGGTCCCTCTGCAAGATCGGCCAGTGCTCTGCTAACTGCTGAGCCACCTGTCCAGTCCCCATTGTAACTATTTAAAGAAAAATTGTGGTACACTCTTGAGGAGCTTGTAAGGTACAGATGTACTTTTCACATAACAGAGTATGCAAAGAAGAGGCTTGGGAAATGGGACTATATTGATGTGCAGTTACTACAACTTTTTCTACACATAAGTCAATATTAACTTGAAGTAAATTGTGGTAAAGATTTACTAAGTTTTAGATAACTTAAATAGGAGCTAGCAGCTACTAAGTAGTGAGTTGAGGCAAAATACAATAGTAAACTAAAAAATATGTTCTCAGCTTGGCTTGTTCCTTCTTAATCCCCTCATTTTGTTAGTTACTGGGCAAGGGCAGAGAGTTGAGGTTTCCATTGGCTTTTCTCTACTGACTTATTACTTGCCTTTGTGTCTCACCCTGCAAAGTAATTCCATTAGCTAATGATTTTGGTATTGCATACCTAAATGTACAAGTATGTACGTAATCTGTGCTTTCACATGTATATATGCAAACTATGTCTATGTCTTAAGTACTTGTACTCATTTCTTTTTTTTTGGAGACAGGGTCTCCCTGTATCCTTAGCTGTCCTGGAACTCACTATGTAGACCAGGCTGACCTCGAACTCACAGAGATCTGCCTGCCTCTGCCTCCCGAGTGCTGGGATTAAAGGCATGTGCCACCATGCCTGGCTTATTTCTATATTTTTTTAAGCAAATTGTTGTGCTTGATTGCAGGGAGCTATCACTTATTTCTCATAATGTATATCAGAGGACATTATGCGTGCTTGTCAGTGCCCATTTCTAAATTAAGACCAAGATATATAATTACTTGATCCTAAAAGCATTGCTTCAGTAATAGAGTAGGGAAAATTTTAAATTGGGTTTATTATTTATTGAAATTCTTTTCTCTCTTTTTTTATATGTAATACAGGTACATCAAGAGAGTGTACACATGATTGAAGTCACAAGTAATTTGATTAATGAAACTCTAGCAAATCACCCAGAGTGGGCAAAGTAAGAATACTGTTTGGGAAAAAGAATAGAGATGGATGACCTGCTTTCAGCATTGATAAACAATAGTACTGGGGTCATGGTGAGAGAGGTATTTAAGGTTGAGAAACAGTGTCTGGTATCTTACATTTGATTAGGTATTTATCATTTACAGCATGTTGATCATTTTACCTGCCTTGTGTTGTTTGTCCCTCACAGTGACTATTGAGGTAGATTGAAGATGTTACCCCATTCACAGATGAGGAAGAATCTCATTGGTTTATGAACTTGAGATGTTAATTCCCCAGTGGTAGTCAGCACGTGACATGTAGCCAGTGATTCCACCTGAAGTGAACCTTGCACTAGAGCATGTGACTCTTTGTTTTTCTATATAATTTCTGCCACATTCCCATTTTGTGTTATTTTTTAGGAAGATGGGACAAACGCTAGGCCAGGGCCAAATTCAGCCACTTGTTTTTGTAAATAAAGTTTTATCAGAACATAGATATGCTTGTTCATTTACTCATTCATTTGGCTGATTTGGGACTGCAAGGACAGATAGATTGAAGTAGTTGGTGACCTAAATGTTATGATCTGCAAAGCCCCAAATGATTATTTTCTGGTCCTTTATGTAAAAAGTTTGCCAATCCCCATCTCTGTATTCATTTAATTTGGTTTCTGTGAGAAGAGTTTTGGCTCATTTCAGGGAGTGCTTAGCAGAGCTGTGCTCTCCTGTCTTAGAATGAGGGAAGCTGAGAACATCCAGGGAAGGCACTCGTGGGGACCCATGGTTATAGGGGAGTGTACAACATGTACCAGTACAGGTTGCTCAGGTAGTTCTGGCCCTGTGACTCGTGGTGGGTTTAGTCAGGTCCATTGACTTAGCTATGATAGTTCTTTTGTCTCATCTCAAAGATGAGAGCTTTGGTGAAGGGTATGCACAGCAGCAAGACTTTTTCTCAGTCCTCCTTAGATGTGTATCAGTCATTAAGGATCTGTCTAGATAACTCTGCAGATTCCTATACTTTCTAGTAACACAGTAGGATGTTATTTTCCCCACAAAGATACAGCAGTACCATATAATTGAAAAATTCAGTGATTCCTCCAGTCATTGATGCATCTGTAAATACTAATTTGAAAGCTACACAAATTGTCCCACATCACAGAGAACCAAGTTTCCTGTTCATATCCTTACATTGTAATTCTACTAAGTTTATAAATAATTTTATATTGCTGTGAAATAATTGAATTGACTGAAGAATTTGCCAAAAACTCTCATAAATCTTGGAAATTTATTTGGATTACAGAACATTCAAACTTGTATTGATTTGACATTCTGTTTTATTTTGTTGAAAAATAGTCTCATTATTTAGGCCAGGCTTGCCTGGGACTTGCTGTGAAGCTCAGGTCGATCTAACACTCATAGTAATACTTCAGCCTCAGCCTCCTGAGGACTAAGATTACAGGTGTGTGCCCTATGCCTGGTTCTACCTTTTAATTTATTCAGATGATCTGTATATTTTTTTTTCCTCTGTGAAAGATTGTTTTTCTAGATGCTTGACTTGTGTGGCTTATTGATGACAGCCAACTTTCTCCTTATATGACTGTCTTAAACATATACACACACATATTTTGAAACTGCTAAGAATTGAGGTTGTTGCCTGTTTGACTTATTTATAATGAGGAGCCTCTTTGCCATATGCCATCTTTGTAGCATGTCTCATATTTGGGCCGAAGAAAAATGAACCGTTATTGTTGCCTTGGCCTTTCAGCACAAATCAGGAGTAATTGAAACCAGAATGATTAAATTTGCAAATGTCAGTCTCTAGTGCAGAACATTGTGGTGAATCGTTTAGGGAAGGGACAAAAATGTTTTCTCTTTTTGGAAGACTCTGGGCATGTGTAAAGGAGTGTTGGTTAAGGTGTATTGTGCAGCAAGTTTAGTTAGAAGAAAATGGAGAAGCCTCTTAACTGTACGGCAAGTATAATTTGTAGACTGTAGTTCTTTGCATAGTGAAGAGAGTCCTTACATCATCAAAAGATCTTCAGTGGATAAAACTTTAAAATAATTAGTTCACCCTCTTAATAATCTGGATTCTTCCTCAGTTCTACACTTCCTTAGACCAGTGGTTAGTCAAATATTAGCACACATAAGACTTGCTTGCGTGACTTGTTATGGGTACATGGTTCTGTTTCAGTAGGTCTGAGGTTGGGCTCAAGAGTTTTGGTCACTAACTGGTTCTCAGGCAGCTTGGGTGCTGCTGGTCCATCCCCTACACTTTCAGGACCTTGTCTCAGATGTTGACTATCCCAGTGTCCAAGAACTACTTCTTCTGTGCTGTTACTAGGCACATGGCTAGGACATGAGTGGACCCAGAAAGTAGGCACAATGGAATGAAAAGAAGGCTTGGGTGTGGGTTGGGAAAATGGGTCTAGGTCCTAAGGAGAGATGGGAGACAGCCCCTAAGACTTGGAGCCAGAGCAGTCAGACCAACATGTCCGCTGCTCCTTGTGTCACTGTGTTAATGACTGATTGATAATTTGTTGTTAGTATCTTAAATTCAAAGCATTGTTGGAAGACTATACTGAAAGTACATTTTTTTTCCATTTTCTCTTTCTTTTATAACAGTTGGCTTCCTGAGGCTCAGGTGGTTCAAAGAGCCCTAAATTCTGCAGCTAATAATGTATATCAGTATGGACGGGAATGGATAACACACAAGGTAAGGAAGAGCCTTTCTTGTGGCTTTCTCTTGGCAGGGTTTATACAGGAAGCTACTTCTTCCTTTAAGTAAGTGTATACTTTTCTGTATTCTGTTTGAAACAGTTATCATTTTTGAAATAAGCTTAAATCTACATGTGGACAGATGTCATAAAAGGAAATCAAACCTTCAGGATAACCACACTGAATACTGCTGGTTGCCCAAACAATCTGAGAGGTTCATTCACTTTTTTCCAAGATAGATCTAATTGATTTTTTGTCTTTTAAGACAGAGAGATCACTATCAGTTTGAACCATTCTACTTGCTTTCTAGCTGAGAAAACAGACTGGGCAGGGCCATTGGTTCCCGCTGGCCATGTGTGCATTGCCTTTATACTAGTCACAAGCTCCACATCCTTGTCTTTGTGCTGTGGCTTGCTATCAGTGTGTGTCTGGCCAGAACTGCTCCACTAAGTGCTTTTGGGTGGCACTTGAGATAAACCTTGAAGGAACAGAAGATGGAGGAAGAGTGCATTTTGAGAAGGGTATTTATGTGAGTGCAGATACTGAGGCATAAGTGTGCTTATGCTTGAGATAAACTTGACTAGGAATAGAGCCTTGTGAAAGGAATGAGTGATAGAGGAAAAGACATACTGCATTTAAAAATTAGTCTCCAAAACCCTCACCCAGTGTTGACCAGAAAATAAAGGTTATTTGTAGCTTTAATATTCTAAAGTAGTTAGAATCATACAAGGATTGACAAGATTGATTGCATGAATAGTTTCTTATTTAAAAAAAATAAAAAAAACTACTGGATGTAGTGGCCTTTTAATCCTAGCACTTGGGAGGCAGATGCAGATGGATCTCTCAGAGATTGAAGCCAGCCTGTTCTATCTATATAATGAGTTCCAGGCTAGGTGGACTATCTTGAGAGTGTGTCTCAAGAAAAACAAGACCCCTCCCCCCCAAAAAAATACAAAATAAACATGTACTAGAGAGATCGTTCAGCAGTTAAGCTGCTCTTGTAAAAGACCCAAGCTCAGTTCCCAGCACCCACATTGTGGCTAACAACCATCTGTACCTCCAGTTCTAGGGGATCCAAACCTTTCTTCTGGTCTCCATGGGCATTGTATAACATGGGTACACTTAACATACATGCTGGCATAAGATAAAAATAAACCCATAAAAGTACATCCCAAATTATGAAAAATAAGTTGTATATGCTTGTATCTACTAACCCTAAGATGAAATTACTAGAAGTTAAAAATTGTCAGTTCATTATATTGTCTGCCCAAGATAATCAGCTGATAAACTTGTAAAATAAAAGATAAATATGTGTATATGGCTTTAAAACTGTCACAGATGGAAAAGTCAGCTATTAGCTTTCTATAGGTTTGTTTTGGTAAAAATATAGCATTTTATTCTGATGTATTTGGGAAAAAAATTTTTCCCTGACATTCTTACCTATGTACAAAGATTAAAGAAAGGGAATTTTAGCTGGGCATGGGTGGTGCATGCCTGTAATCCCAGCACTTGGGAGGCAGAAGCAGGCGGATATTTGTGAGTTCGAGGACATCCTGGTCTATAAAGTGAGTTCCAGGCCAGCTGGGGCTACAGGGGGACCCTGTCTCAAAAAAAAAAAAAAAAGAATTTTGGGTAAATGGAAAAACAAATCTTAGATTTAAAAAGTAGATTTCAAGCTACTTAGAGAAAATAAATAGGTATGAAACTTTTTGTTCAAGAGTCTGAAGGTGAAGGGAACTGAAGAGAAATGAACACTGATAGCAAAAGTTATAAAGTATTTGTGGTCCTGATTTAGAAGACAGAGGAATAGACTTTAACAACCATCGAGTATCCGTCAGCTGGTGGATAGATCAATCAAAGGTGGTAAATTTACTTATGTTTGTGTGTGTGCATGGTCTTTTGTATGTGGGTACATGTGTGTCATGGTGCATGTATGGAGGTCAGAGGACAACATACACATATACAATAGTAAATATAAGAGAATCAGTCATGAAATACTACATGTATATGATTCCATTTACATGAAATATCCAGAAGTGGCAAATCTAAATAGGCAAAAAGTAGAATAGTGGATTCCAGTACTAGGGGATGCAGAGAAGCCAGAGTGAATACTGACAGGCCCGTGGTTTCTTTTGAGAGGGGGGGATGCTTTGAAATTAACTTGTGGTAATGGTTAAATAACTGTAAATATACAAAAAAGTTGAATGTCTACTGAAACATATTGTAAGGGTGTGAAATATGCCTTAATGTAGTTATTAAAAATATGTAACTTTTTGGGGCTGGAGAGATGGCTCAGCAGTTAAGAACATTGGTTGTTCTTGCAGAAGACCTAGGTTCGAATCCCAGCACCCACATGGCAGCTAACAACTGTCCGTAACTCCAGTTCCAGAGGATCCAACAGCTTCTTCTGTCCTCCGTGGGCATTGCACGACATGGGTGCCTTTACCTACATGCAGGCATAATACACACATAAAAATAAATAAATAAATAAAATATTTTTTAAAAATGTAACTTTTTAAAAAGAATTATTTAAAAATTTTTAATTATGTGGAGGTATGTGTGCACATGAGTGTATGTTCCCTCCCAAGGCTAGAAAAGGGCATTGGATCTCCTAGAGTTACAGGCAGATGTGAGCTGCCCAGTGTTGGTGCAGAGAACCAAACTCTGGTTCACTGAAAGAAAGAGCAGTATGTGCTCTTAACCTGTCTCTTTCAGCTCCCCAGATGTAACTTTTAATGAGTCGTAAAGCTTACATAGCTAAAACTTAAAAGAAGTGAGTTGCAAGGCCTAAAATCTTGAGAATTCTCGACTAAAGCTTGGAAAAACTGCTTTGCCGAGAAAGAGTTTTTTAGATTCTGAAGGTTCCAGTCTGTCTTTCTCCCGGCCTGCTTTGTCAAGCTAATCTCCTATGGTCCTTCCTGGTGTTTGGGTTCTGTGCAGGCCTCCCTCTTGGCCTTCCTCACTACGCCATTGAACTGCAAAGGGATAAGCAACATGTTTCCTCCGTCCCTTCTGCCATGACCATGATTTACCAGTCGGTCTGTACACACAGTTCAGGGGCAGAGCAGTGAGCCCGAGTGTTACCAGCTTCCTGGAGTCTTAACACTGGCGAGTAGAAAGGAGTATTAAATATATAAACAAATAAAATTTTTAGGTACAAGTACTACAATACAGAGCTTGTAGTAGAGAGTAAGTGACTCTGGGTGACGCTTTAGCTAGAATATCCAGAGAATTCTCTGAGGCAGCAGTGTTTCCATCAAGTGTCTAATAATAAGAATCAGACAGTTGGTGAGGATCTGGGAAAGCTGACCAGGCTGCAGGTGGAATAAATTCAAAGACTGAGTTGGTAGCAAATGCAGTTGAAGGATGGGGAAGGCCAGTATGGCTGGAACAGGGAATGACCAGTGAGGCAAGTAGCAGGTCATTAAATTTCTATGAATCTTCTGATAGTGGTGCTGAGTGCATTGTACTCCATACTGTCTGGCCTAGTCTTTTGGTATGTGCAGTGTATACTGTAATGTCTCAAGGCAGTGTTCTGGGTCTTTGATGTTCTGCTAGGGTTGGTAGCAGCATGAGATTGTGGAGTGTTTCACAGCATGTTGTGAAAATATGCAGTGCTGTCTTTTGCTCATGGTGTGTTAGAATTATTCATTTTTCTTCAGGAAATCAGACTTATAAAAGAAACCATGGCAAAACAGAGCTTCATTGCATTAAAGGCCACTCTGTACAGATAATGTAGGTTGGAGGTTGTCTAACCATTTTAGGCCTTTTCTGGTTATCGAGATCTCAGAAGCTCACTGAGAGAATTGGTAGTAGGAAGTCAGTGAGTGTCTGACAGCCACTAACTAAAGGGAACTGGAAAATGGTTATTTTTGCTCAGTTTCCTCTGTGAGGTGTTGTTTACAGGTTACATATACTATAGTTGAAAGAAATTAGAGAACTTTTAGTTTTGTCCCATCGTATAGACCAGACTGGCCTGGAGTTTGTAATCCTCCTATCTCAGCTTCCCTAGTGCTGGGTTAGACAACTTTTAATCCTGACTCTGTATACTGAGCCATGGCCTTGAATTTTTATAGACACTTTCTAAGACTGTCTTCTCTTCCAAAATTGATAAAATCACCTTTGTTTTGAGGTGCTAGTCTGAGCCTAGGGCCTTAGGCACGTATTCTACCTCTGAGCTATACCTGCCTCCCTGCAGAATCATTTTCTGTTCAACTCTTGGGTTGTAAAGATCATAATGTAGGTAACAGGCATTTCTGATTATAAAATCCTTTGCAGAAACAGGTGTTTTTTTAATTATATTTACTGTGGATACTTAGTGTCTGGTTTGTGAATAAATCAAATACAAAAGTATATCTTTATAACAGATACATACAATAATACATGGTTCATGGATGTGTTTTTTTATTATTTTTATTTTATGTGTATGAATGTATCACCTGCATGTATATAAGTGCACCCATGTTGTGCAGTACCCACAGAGGTCAGAAGAAGGCGTCGGATTCCCTGGAACTGGAGTTATAAACAGTTGTTAGCTTCCATGTGGGTGCTGGGAACCAAACCCAGGTCTCTGCAAGAACAACCAGTGCTGTTAACCACTGAGCCATCTCTTCAGCCCAGACCCAAAATCTTTTTAAGTTACTCTGCTAAGCCCTAGGCAGGAGGGGTAGAAGTTGTCAGATCCCCTGGAACTGGAGTTAAGGACAGTTGTTAGCTTCCTTATGGTGCTGGGATTTGAACTTGGTTTCTCTGCAATAGCAGCCAGTGCTGGTAACTGTTCAGCCATGTCTCTAGCCCTGGTTCAAGTATTTCTAAGGGCAACATCAGGCAGACAAAGAAATACTTAAATGTACATTGTAAATCAGTTTGGAACATTATGTTGCTCTCTTCATTAATTAAAGAAAAAAAGAACAAATAATTGGTTGCCATTTATAACTGCTAAATTATCTTTTAAAAATCTCAGTTAATCCATAATGACTTGGGAAAATTGGTTTCTATACAGTGCTGGAAAGTATTACTTTGTCCTTATAGAAAATTGTTTAGCAGTATGGTCAGAATTGTTTCTGTCCTTGATTCCTGTGAAAAATGAGCCACATTTAAAGATGTTAATGGCAATGTTATGACATTAAAAATCAGAGCCCATTTGTATATTTTCTGAGTGAGTATTGATTAACAATGGGACTTAATGAGCCAATAAGCCATTGAACATAATAAGAAAGTTATGGACACTAAGGAGAAAATGCTATGATTCAAAAGGTCACACAGATTATACATGTGTAGGAGAGTATTGAAGAAATGGAAAAAATGGAGACAGTTGTGTTAAGGAAATGGAACTTCAAATCAATGTTCATCTTTTAAAAAAATGTCTTTAGCTGCTGGGGAGGTGGCAAAGTGGCCACACAAGCAAGAGGGCCTGAGTTTGATCCGTAGCACCTATGTAAAAAATACAAATACCTTGTGTGTACAGGCAGTACACTCCTGAAATTCCAGTGCTATGGAAGTGGTGACAGGACCCTGGGGCTGCTGGCCTACCAGTCTAGCTGAATCCTCTGAACTCCAAGTTCAGTGAGTCTCAAAAAGTAAGGTAGAGAGAGAGTGATTGAGAAAGACGCCTGATAACCACCTCTGGCCTCCACACACATGTGCTTGTGCCCACACACAGGAACATACCCATACATATACACACAAATTATTACTATTATTTTGGCTATGCTGGTGATAGGACTAGGGACTCTGTATATGCTAGGCAAGTAATTTCCCACTAAGCTCTATTCTTAAATCCTACAAAATGGTTTTATAATGAAGGAATAGAATCAATTTAAAAAAACATTTTACTTTTATTTTACGTGTATGAATTTTATATGTATTGCCTGTATGTATGTAAGTACACCCATGTCATGTAATGCCCGAGGAGGTCAGAAGAGGGTGTTGGATCCCCTGGAACTGGAGTTATGTGGGTGCTGGGATTTGAACCTGGGTCCTCTGCAAGAGCAGCCAGTGCTCTTAACCGCTGAGCCATCTCTTTAGCCCCATAGGATCAGTTTTTACAATGAGTGTGAGTTACACTGTCTTAGTGTGTCTGATAGCCAGAAGCCATTCCTACCAGTTCTTGTCTGAGGCCTGTGACTGCCAGTAAGCAGACGAAGGGAAAGATGTGTATTTATAGGTAAAATCCAAAAATTTTACTTAAAGTTCTGAGGTAACCTTTAATAATAGAGAGACATGACTTAAGACTTAAACATAGTAGATGGGCTTCTAGGCTTATAGGGAAAAGATTTTTTTCTGAGTAGATAAGATCAGATATGTCCATAAATGTTTTTGAACATTTGCATCATTCTTTTGTAACTTAGTCGTTCTGTTAGAGACCTAAAAAAAAAGAAGAGGGGCTGGGTAGATGGTTTCCAGCACCCACATGGTGGCTCAACCATCCATAACTCCCGTTCCTGGGGATCCTACACCTTCTGGCCTCTGTAGGCATTGCACACACATGGTGCACTTACATACATGCAGGCAAAACCTTCATATACACAAAATAAAGGTGAATGAATAATAATAAAAAAAAAGAGAAAAAAAAGTGGAAACGAGAGGGATGGTGGGTGGTAGGGATTTTCTGAGAAGATGGAGGAATCTTTGTTTCCTTTTTGAGACAGGGTCTCCCTGTAGCCCCAGCTGGCCTTGAACTTGCTATGTAGACCAGGCTAGCCTCAGACTCACAAAGATTACCTGCCTCTGCTTCCCAAGTGCTGGGATTAAAGGTGCACGCCACCATGCCTGGAAATGGAGGAATCTTTTAAGAAAATAACATAATATGGTTAAAAATTATTAAGTAGTTGAGCATTTTAGCTTGATTTGGGACAAATGAAGACCTAGAATGTGCTGTGCTCACTGAATTGTAGTTTAAAATACTCATCACGTTATACTTGTCATTTCTAGCTTCATAAAATTCTAGGAGATAAGGTGAACAATACTGCCATGATTGAGAAGCAGGTGCTGGAGCTCTGGGACAGGCTGTATCATTCTTGGTTTGTAAAGGTGAGTGCTTGCAGCTAAGCATGGCCATCGTAAACTGAGAACATCCTTTTACTTTGTAGGCTAACTTACTCAGGAGGATTTATTACCATTGGAGTTTCACTTACTGTAATTCCAACGGTAAGATCTTAAGTCTTAGGTCGGTGTCAGCTTGCGTTGGTGGTTAGTCCCTGGTAATGTCAGTATTCCATCCTTTGCTCATTATCATAGACAATGTCTTGTCCTCTGCAAGTGCTCTATACAGTACAGATGTAATGCAAGCCACATTTACTTATTTTTTGGTGATGGGATTGAACCTAGGAACTCTATGTTAAGCATAGCTCTACCACTGAGCTACACCGCCAGCTCCTTCAAGACACAAAAATGATAATAATTTTTCTAGTAACTACATTAAATGACTAAAAGCAAATAAGAACATTGAATAAATTAAAAGCAGATTAATTTTAATAATACATTTCACTTATTCCAGTATATCTAAAATACTACCATTCACTATGAAACCAGTAAAGGCAACTTAATGAGATATAAAATATATTTTTCTAATTTTTATTAATCTTTGAGAATTTCATGTAATATATTTTGATCATATTCACCCCTGCTTCTTCTTCTAATTCCTCCCAGATACACCCCCACCTCCCAACTCCCTCTCAACATCTTGTCATCTTTTTTTTTGATAATCCACTGGGTCCAGTTTCTGCTGCCCACAGACTCCTGTGTGTGGGGTCATGGTCATCCCATCATCAGGGGCCACACCTTAAAGAAAACTTCCTAAGTGCAACAGTCCTGTCATATTGAGGAGATACTCTTTTGCTTGGGGCCTCCCTGACCTCTGGCTCCTGCAGTCTTTCTGTCCCCTCTTCTGAGATGATTCCCAAGCCTTGTTGGTGGGGGCGATGTAGATGTTTCGCTGGTGGCTGAACACTCCATTGACCCTTATTCTCTGCACTGTTCATCAGATGTGAGTTCTGTGTTAACCACCATCTACTCCACAAAGAAACTTCTCTTACCAGATCTGAGATCTTCATTAATCTGTGGGTATAGAGACATGAATTTAGAGGACAGTTTGCTACCATGTCCTTTTAGCAAGAATAAATCTAGGTTCAACCCTTGAGGCCTGTGGGCTTCCCAACCATGGGCTCTTGGTCAGATTTATAACACCATGCATATATTTTCTCCCGTGGAACAGGCCTTAAATCTAATCAGAAAGTAGCTATTCACCACTATTAACGTGCATGCCATTATACTCATGAGTGTATCTTGCCACTCCAGTTGTCTTTTTGTAGTTCACAGGATTCAGAACTGGATAAGATTATTGTTGGCATTTATCTCCCCAGAAGCCTGCATAGTACCATTAAGAACTATGAAAGCTAGCTAGTGGGGTGGAAGTTTTCTGGTCAGTACCAAGCTGATTCTTCCATGTTCTGACCAAAGTGTGTGTTGTTTTCAGCATTTGGGTCTTATCATCATGTTTCATTGAGCAACCAAGAGCAGTGGCAATAGTCTGTATTGTTTTAGGGGCCTCTGAGATACCTCTGACCAACAGCTCATAGGGTGATGTCCCACACACAGCACTGGGTTTTTTTGTTTGGCAACCTATGGCTTCTAGGAGAGCATTATTCCCGGTATAAGGTAGTTCAAAATAAATTTTTACATGAAAAATGTATATATTTATATCAAGATAATAATAGTTTCCATATGGCTTTTTCAAACATCCTTAATGTTATCCTTCTCTTCATCCTCATATTCTTTTTTAAATACTAAGGCTTTGAAATCTGGTGTGCATTTTACACCAGTAGCACAGGTCAGATTTTATGCTAGTCATATTTTAAGTGCTTAGTCTCCTATGGCTAGTTGCTACTGTTAGGGACTAGTTAATGCTAGACATTTCTCTTTGAGAAGGTGGAAATAGATCTAAAAAGTTTTATTTTAAATCAACCTTGTATTTTTTTCCATTTATATACTCTTAATTTAGAATAAATGGTAGGGATGAATAGAATTTTCCACCATGTATAAAATTGAGGACTTGGAACGCAGCTGTTTCTGCCTAGCCATGCTCTGTCCATACCAGGTCTGGTGGGCTGTCGAGAGCTGTGCTGCAAGTGTAGTGAGGCAGAGCTGGTATTTTTTCCAGGGCTGATGTGAAGCAATGAAGAACAGCTATAAATCTCTTAACTTGAAGTGCATGAGGAAGGGAGCTGAGTTTGTCTTTGTTGCATAGCCATGTGTTTCACAATCTATAGTCTTGTCCTGAGATGAGTGGAGGGAATGAGTTGGTTTTTGTGGTAAAGACTTGAGAGTTAAGACTTAACAGGGCCTAGGTGTTGTGGCACATGCCTTTAATTCCAGACACTAGGAGGCAGAAGCAGGGACAGGCAATTCCTGCGGTGAGTTCCTGCCTCATGAAACAAAATAAAACAAAATACCCCAAAACAAAACCAACAGAAACTAATAGAAGTACACTGTTAAAATGTCTTATATTTGATTTTATCTGCTGAGGAGCTAAATAATTTAAAAGCTCATATTAGTTTCCTGTGCTAACTCTGGGACTTCCTAACATAGCCCTCACCTGTTTGAGCCATTGAGATGGTAGAGGAATGTGAGTCTTAAGAGCACAGATCTGTATGTGGGGAATATGGTGTGGTATTCTCTTTACCTTTTTCACTAGGACCCAGAGTTTTCCAGCACTGTGTAGCAGATTGTTTCAGGGCTGCCCTTGAATAGGTGGAAGAGGCTCTGGAGAGATGGTTCAGTGGTTAAGAGCACTAGCTGCTCTTGCAGAGGACTGGGGCTCAGTCCCCAGCACCCACATGGCAGTTAATCATCTGTAACTCTAGTTCCAGGGGATCTGATGCCCTCTTCTGGTTTCTATGGGTATTGCATGACATGGGCGCACCTACATGCCAGCAAAACACTTGTATACATAAAATAAAAATAAGTGAATAATTTTAGGAAAGGTAGAAGGGAAAACCATGCAACATATTAAGACCTTACCTCTGAATTTTTATATCAGCCATTTTCTTATTTATATCTCTTTTTAAAATCAATATTCCCTGTATCTCTGCCTTTCTATAATTTTCTCAGATACACTAGATTTACTCCCTTATTCTTGGTTCTTTGTCATAATCTCCTCTCTCTCCACTCCCTTGTATAGAAGATTGAGGAAGGAGGACAAAGAGTGATAGGAAGCCATGAAAGAGGGAAAGCTGAGCAAGGTGAATGGACTCTTAGTACACTGTGGTCTGTGCTGTGGAGTAGAGTATGTTCAGAAATCTGTTTAGAAGAGAAACACTTGAGTTAGGCTAGACATGCTGGGATGTGAATGGAAAGTACTATGTTTCAGGCCTTTAGATGGAGCTCTTAGTTGGTTTCTTAAACAATGCAAGGTTTCTCGTGTTTAATACTTACTGAAGTACACAGTGAACCTGAAACAGACATTCATTCTTTGGATTAAGTTTAGATGGAAAATTCATGTGTCACTTGCTTTATTCCTCAGAACATAACACATGCTGGAAGGCACAAAGGGCACAAGATGCATGTGAATCGTCAGAACAGCTGGCTGGGAGACATTCTGGACTGGCAGGATATTGCCTCCTTCGTTCACGAGAACATTGAGACATTTCTTTCGGTAAGGCTAAACTGGACTTAGAAGTAAAACAGAAACTCTACCTCTAGGTTTCCTTACATTGAGGTCTTCAGCTACCTTGTTTTTAATACTGTGACATGTGCAGGTTTTAAGAACTTTAAACATTAGAAAGATGTCTGAAAGCCATAGTCCTCAGGTCTGACTCCTGGTACTTGCCAAAATGAAGAATACCAGAGAGATGCTGAATCCTGAAGCATCTGAGCAGCACTATGGACTCAGAGCTCTAGATCCATGTCCTTATCCCTTAGACTCACCAGCCTATACTCAACCCTTAGAGAGAGACCTTTTTTTCCTGTTGGTGAAGCCCCTGACATACGGAAATGTGGGTCCACCTACTTTAGAGAGACTCGCTGTAAAGATAAAGGCGTAGCTTGACAGCTTCCCACCCTCTGGCCTGCTCTGTCCACCCTGCATTTAGACCATTGCTGAGTGTCTCTTGATGCCCTTCATTCCCAGCGCAGACTTTGGAGGTGTCTCGGCATGTGACTTTTCTTTCACAGATTAGAGAAGTTTGCTTGTGAATAAGTTGAGGTTTGCTAAATTCAAGAAAAAATTAAGTTGAGTAAAGTGATACATGACCATGACGGAAAATCAACTCTTTAAAAAAAAAGTCTTGCTCTGTGTCTCCACGTTGGGCTCCAGGAATAGCTGTGCATCCCAGAAGCAGCCTTTCTATTTACCCCAGGATTTTTAAAGTGATGTTTATGCTGCTCTTTCTTGTTTTGCCATTTTAGATACTATCTTTTGGCTTCCAAATATGGAAGATGAAGGTAAAGATGTGGCTCTCTGACAAGTCCTTCAGTGCTCTGATGCTTCTGGGCTTTTCTTGCAGCTCCTTCATCTGTCTCCTTACACTTGTGCTTCTCCCTGCCTCCCACTCACCAGAGGTGCTAGCACAGTTTGGAGTGGAATCTGAAATTGATATCTTTCAATTTTTATTTTATGCTTTAATTAATTGTTTAATTAAGAAATAGAACCTCGCTTTGTTCCTTAAGCTGTCTTTGAACTCATGGCCTCAAGCAATCCTCCTGCTGCCCCAGTCCCAAGTCATTCAAATTATAGGCATGTGACACTGCACCCAGCTAGCTATTTTACATTTTTGATAATCCCTTCCCACTGGTTCTCTACAGTTTTAGTATGAGGATTGCAAAGTGCATATTTGTCTGTTAAATATTTCATGTTAACAAGAAGGTCATGCATTTACTGTGTTAAAAAATAACTTTTGTTTTTTTTGGAGCTAGGAAAATAAGTGGCTCAGTTGGAAAAGAGCTTGCTGCACAAGCATGGGGACCTGAGTTCAGATCCCCAGCATCCGTATAAAAGCTGGGTGTGGTAGCACATGTCTAATCCTAGTGCTGGAGGGTAGAGACAGGAAGATCCCTGGGCCTTGCTGGCTAGCCAGTCTAGCCGAATGGGTGAATTGGAGATTTAGTGAGACCCTATTTCAAAAAATGAAGTAGAGAGTGATTAAGAAGGACAACTGATGTTGACTTCTGGCCTCTACTGCATGTGTGCACGTATGCCAGCACCCATACCTGTACACACAAAATACTGTTTTCTAAGATTAAAAAAAAAAAGAGAGAAGTTATTTCTGTAAGAGCTTTAGCAGAGTTAGTTTAGGCCTTTGAATTTTTATAAACAAGTTTGATGCTTAGGTTGTCATCTCTTCTGTTCAGTCTATTGGGATGTGTTTATTTTGGTGAAGCGGGTAAAGGACATCCATTCTCAGATGCATGGAGGGAGGCTCATCCGTGAGGCCATGAGCTGAGTACCTCACTTCACTCCCCTGTCCTTTGGAAGGTCTTCCATAGGTGACTAGTTGGAGAAGAGAATCTTTTTGAGTTCTTAATTGTGGGTGTTCTTGGTACTGTACCAGAACTCAGTGTGGTACTCTTAAAAGGTTAGTTGCAGTGTGGAGTATGAAATTCTATTAATAAATTTCCTATACTCAAGTATAATAAAGTCTGCTGGCCAGTTTTTGGCTAAAGATTTTTTTTTTTACCCTTGCATGCTTTTGTAATATACATTGGTTATTCAGTATATTGGTTCATTCATATCTGTACATCTTCAGAATATTGATAGTGTTATTAAACAGTATTTAAAAATCACCTTCTTCATATATGACCATCTGTCTCATCAGAGGAAAAAAAAGTTTAAGAACTTTTTTAAAGGATGCGACCTCAACCTATTTAGTTTTCTAAAATTATGATCTTTTTTTTTAGACGGGGGAGTTCAAATTTTGCTGACAAAAAAGTACTCAGTGGTTTTCCTTAATGTGTTACTTTATGAATTTCTGTAGAAGGTTCTAGCTGGTACCAAGTTCATTGAGTGTTCTTTATGTAGACATGATAATGAGTAAAGGTCACCTATCTTAGCTCACCTGTCAGGACCAGTGCTCCTCCTCGGAGTGTTTCCTTTAGTGCTCCTGTCTCCTCACACAGGTGCCACCACTGCTGCCTGACTTCTCCGTGGGTTCTGGGGCCCAAGCTCTGGTCCTCATGCTCGTGCAGCAAGCACTGTATCCACTGAGCCATCTCCCTAGTCCTGTTGAGTGATTTTTATATAAATGTTTTATGACATATTTTGCTAGGTAGTTTGTGCAGATTTTCTGATTTAACTCCTAAAGTTCTTATAGAATCAATAGTATTGCTCTTGTTTTAGTAACAGACTCAGTAACATTAAGTAGCAATTAACATTTCTTTCTTTAAACTTTTAAAAATTATTTTTTTAATTAATTAATTTATTTATTTATTTATTTATTTATTTATTTATTTATTTATTTATTTATTTTATGTGAATAAATGAATGAACTAGTTTTTGAGACAGGGTCTCACTGTCTAGCCCAGGCTGTACTTAGATTCATGATTGCCCTGCTTCAGGACAGTTGTTAGCTGGGATGTGGGTGCTGGAAGTTGAACCCTGGTCTTCTGCAAGAACAACCAGTATTCTTAACCACTGAGCCATCTCTCCAGCCCCAGCAATTAACATTTCTATTCAGCTTTTCTGTTCTTGGCTTCAGAGACCAGGTTCTTGATATAATATGTCATTGTCTTCCAAAAGATGTTTCATTCTCTGGAGAGCTCTGTATCTGTGCTTTCACACATTTTCTCTCTTTGCTTCATTTTCCTTTCAGATATTTTAGCACAGAGGTAGTGTAGAGCTTATCTGTTTCCTAGGCTTTTCCCAGAGTATTTCAGAACACACTGAAGTTTTCCCTGCTTTCAGATGCCTGCTGTTACTGTTTTAACTCCTTTGGTACTGAGCATATTTACCTTCTTTTTTAATTTTATGCCCAGTCTTCCTAAGTTTTAATTTCTTGGAACAGGAGGACTCTGAATTATCACAGCCTTAGAATTTAGCCTAATGTTATGTTGTCAACCAAACCAGTTAAGAGAGGGGCATTACAGCTTGACTCATTATTATTATATTTAGAAGAAATGTGGCAGAGCTGGAACAGTGTTTTGAGATCTCCTCACCCAATTCCCTTCTTCTATGACTAGATCAGGAAGATAGGAACCAGGGAAAGTCAGTGGAGCTGCTGTAGCCCACGTCTCTAGGCTCGTCCTAGACTGATGCAGACAGAAATCGTGCTGTCTGCAGAAGACAGTCCTTTTTTTTACTTTTTCCCAGTAGTGTTCTGTTTCTCTGCTTTCCTAAGCTGTTTCCTTTGAGTCTTCTTCACTGGTTCTATAGAAGATCTTGATAACTGGAAGCCAAATGTGTGATCAAAAGGTAATTTGATGACAGTGGGCTCCAAGAAGGGGTCCAACAAAGCAGGAGGATGCTGAGGCTCCTTCTTCATTCTTAACTGCCTTTGCGATCACATGGCTTAATTTAATTGTCTGGGTGTGTCACTTAGGCTTACATTGTATGGCTAGGGACTCTGTTCTTGACATTCTTTTGGTTATGTCGCTACAGTGGATTAATTTATCACCAGTTCTGGCTTATATTTTCTAATTTTGAGTTGAGATACATTTTGTTTCCACAAATCTGTTTGATTCTTCTTCTTGCTCCTGCCCTTACTGATCTCCTTTCCAAGCCTGGCATAAAAGACTAAAACTCTACTATATAATGATTTAGTTAACATTCTAGAACTTTCCTTTTCTCTGATGTCTCTGACTAGTCCCCTTTCAAGTAAAAAAGTTTACTTGATTGTTTTTGGAGATGCCCAGCCTATCGTTAGTGTATTCAGTTAATTTCTTAAGAATTGTACCAGGGTATTTTCTATTCTGTGATTCAGAAACTATGTAAAGATATTTGATTAAAAATTCCAGAATGACAGACGCTAAAAGAAAGCTTGCAGACTACAAATAAAAGCATTGTTTCCTTGTGTCGGTGGCCTTGTTCATTCATTCCTTATCCCACAGGGTCAAAGAGTTAGTCATGCATATTTTTGTAGGCATAGCGAAACATTTTCAAGATTTTATGTGAGGAGTTTTTGTAAATGAAACCAGTCTGCAAAATTCTTGTATGAAGACTGCACTGAGGTTTGCAAGAAATGCTGAGAACAACAAAATGTCCTTTATAAATGGTGCATTTGAGATAGGGAAGGAATGGATAGACCTTTCATAGATTAGATGGTATAATTTGAACATTTGACAACAAACAGAGCTGCTCTTTTAGAAAGGGCACTGAAATAAAAATGGAATGTTAGGGTTCTGGTCCCAGCTGTAACCCTTAGCTCTGTAGCCATGCCCAAGTGTTTTATTGTAAACCTCTGAGCTTTAGATGAGGTAAAGTCGCTGCATTGCTTCCCTCCTAGCACTGTTTATAGGAGCTTTTAAGAACTGGAACAGAACACATTTAATCATTTTGCCTCCATGTTTTGCATTAAGAGAAAGAGTAAAACAGGCATCATAAGGGAGTGTTAGTTGACAGAGGGATAGATGAAAACATGGAGATATGATGAAGACAGGTGGCATCTTCCTTTAGTTGTAGCTCATGTTTAATGTACACATAAGATCTTGGTAGCTGGTCCTAATAAGCTTATAGGTAATTGATCAACTGAAGTCATTAGGTCAATAGAATGGTCTATCTTGGGAAAGGCTTTGGTAGTGATCCTGTTATTTTCATTGTGATTTCCCTAGTCACTGGAATAATACTTTTGTAGCTGAGTCTGAGCTGAAGGCTAGGCAGCTGGTCCTACAAAATAAAAAGAACCACAGAATGTGTTCTCATATATTTCTCTGTAGACCTATATCTACATATATAGACATTACTAATTATATAATATATAAAAATATATTTAAAAATATCATACTTTTAAAACAACATAATACAGTAAAATATTATTTAATAAAATGTTTCTGATAGCTGCCTGGTTCTATGAACTGTTATTTGGAGTGTATTCGCCGTAATTACTTAGCCATTTTTTACTATTGAGCATAAATGTTTCTGGTGGCTTCTCTATTTAAGGTAGATATCAGGTCTTATTTTCATGGTTAGGAAGACACTGCATTAAAAGCATGAGGATTAGTTCTGACCCCCAACTGTTGCTCTTCATCAGATCTTGGAGTCCCTGTGGATTGTGATGAGCCGGAACGTGAGCCTGCTGTTTACCACCGTCACCACACTGCTGACCATCCTCTTTTACAGTGGCACTGCCCTTCTCAACTTTGTGCTCTCCCTGGTATGTACCTCTAGGTAGCACTCATTGCATTCCCATCTCTGCAAAAGCATTTTCTTGGTTCTGTTTGAATTTGCAGGTATATGTCTTCCTGTAGGTTCCCAAATGTGAGTTTTTAGGAGAAACTGTCCTTTGTTTTGCAGATAATTTTCCTGACCACACTGTTTTATCTGTTAAGTTCCAGTGATGAGTACTACAAGCCAGTGAAGTGGGTGATAAGCCTGACACCACTGTCTCAGCCAGGCCCTTCTTCCAATATCATTGGCCAGTCTGTGGAAGAAGCTATCAGGTAGGGTAACAACTTGCTGTCCATGAAATGTTGGTTTTCTTGCTTGAGTATTCTAGAAACATTCAGTGCTAATCTAATGAAGGGCTTTGGTGTTCTCAAGAGTTAGCTCCTTTGGATAGGAACCTATGAGCAGCACACATGTTAATAAAGACAAGATTATAAGGAGTTTGTTACTCTACTGTGCAGCTTGTGATTTACAAAGACATGGTTGACTTTTCCTTGACAAACTGATTTCTGTCATATCACTTGCTCAGGAGAACTCCCTTCTTCTACCACATGTACTTTCCTCCCTCACCACTGTCTCTGTTCTCTAGAGTTCTAGCCTGGACCTGGGCAGAGGGTAGATGGCCTTCTTGTTCCTTCCTCTCTCCTCTGTGACCAGCCTGTGCCCTCCACAGGGATTAGTTGGTTACTGGAAATACAGAGTGTTCAGTTACCTGTAAGTCTGTGTACTGTTTCTGGCCAGAAACTTATGCCTCTGGATTCCATATACTGCAGACTTAGTTTCCAACTGAGAGTCTACTTTTATACCTCTAGGCTTCTTCCAAGTCACTGGCTCCTTGATCCCTTTTTGTTTTGTCTTTATTTCTGGTAGCTTTTGACCATTTGCAGCTTAGGCTTCTCTGAGCTCCTCCCTTGGCCCTGGGTCTCATTGCTTATTAGTAAGATGATTCTGCATTCTTATTTTTGTGGATGGCTAACTACTCAAACCATGGTATTATTTATTAGAACTCTTCTTTCTAGTAAGTTGTTAGCCAGGTGGTCTTGAGCTCTGTTGGAGCATGGAATCTATGGCATTTCTGTTTTCACATACTTGAGAAAAATACCATTGTTTGGAACTAACCTACAGATATCTCAGTTTGACTTGACAATCCTGTTTGACTGCTCCTGGCCACCTTTCTACTATATTCCTGTAATAGCTAGGGAGAATACCACTTCGAGCTGTGGATCTGTGGAAACACTTCGTTATATTCCAGAAGTATGTGTACTCCTAAAATATGTCATCTCTGGAAACGTTGCTGGGCTTTCTCTGCAGTTACTACTAGCAAGGCCCAGGGAGAGTCTTTCACCAGCACTTTTCCTCCTTGATTGAATTAGATATCAAGTGGCCTTTTGAAAACATACTGTTACCACCTGTATGGTGTTCTAGAGTGTCCATGTGGAACAATCCATACAAAGATCCAGGTTGGAAGAATATTGTCTAATATTACAGCTTTCAAAGTGACTGTCTTAAGGGAAATAGTTTTGACATTCTTTCCAAGTCTATATGACTTTTGGTTGTCATCCTTATTGGTTAGATTTGATGATGAAAATTCTAGCAATCAGTTATCATTTGTTTTATTTGCTTAAAAAATCCTGTGCTGATACTCTCCACAAAAGGAAAAACAACCTTCTCTCTTTTCAATAGGCTAAAGCTATTGAGATAGCCCTTTCAAAGGCGATAGCAATCCTTTAGTTGGTATAACTTAGGCCAAACTGTATAGGAAAATATCTGTACTGTCCATAAAGAGAAACAGTGCCTCACTTTCCTAATGTGACCTTCATGGGTACTTGTATTCACACACAGCTTTTCTTTTCTTGAATTTTACTTCTTGAATTTCCACAATTTGCTTTCTCAGAGGGAACCACTTTCTGACTCATTGAATTGCCTATTTTTATACAAGATATATTCCTCCTTTTTTGAGACAGGATCTTGCTGTGTAGCCCAGGCTGGCTTTGAGCTCACTATTTTCCTGCCTCTGTTTCCTGAGGGCTAGGATTACAAATGCCGGGTTTTATCATCCAGTACAGGGGAAAAGAAAAGAGAAGTTTAGTAACAAAACTCTAATTCTGTCAGTTCTCAAAGCTGATTGATGAGTTTGATGAGTCTGGTACCAACTGGAGAATGGGTTATGAGTCATTTTTCTGTTGTAATTTGAGATGGCTTTTTGCAGTGATCAGTTCTTTAGGTTATACTAGGTAACAGTCAAGATTTCATGAATACAGGTTTGTATGGATTCCTCTCAAGAGTCTTCAGTAGGGAGGATACCAGTGAGTTCAGCTTGCAAGAGCTTAAGTAAAAACATTCATCCTTGGGGGCATGGTGGTGCACGCCTTTAATCCCAGCACTTGGGAGGCAGAGGCAGGCGAATCCTCTGTGAGTTGGAGGCTTGGAGCTACAGGGAGAACCTGTCTCAAAAAGACCAAAAAAAAAAAAAAAAAAAAAAAAATTCATTCTGGAGGATTGTGCTCAAGTAGGAATGTGTTTCTTTGTGGAGAAAGATTTTCAGAGGAAGAATAAACAAATTAGTTATGAAAATTTCAATTTATTCTGTTAATTATCAGTGAGACCAATTTTACAAACAAATCATTACTCATCAATGTTGCAGTTATGTGGAAATCATTAAGTTGATTTTATATGATACATTAATAAAAATGGGATGAAATTAGGGGTTAATTGCATGACCAGACAGAAAAAGTATCTGTTCCTTATAATTCTGAATCCATGTTCTTCCAAATTGAGTTCATTTGTGATTGTTTGAGTTTTCATTTCATGAATTTGAGTTAGTGGCATGCATCCTTGATCCCCAAACCATTTTCCTCCCTTAAGCAGCATGCTGTCTCCTGAATGTACACATCACACCCTTCTCCCTGATGCCCCCATTCTGCTTGCTCTGGTGGAGATATTGCACATTACTAAGTTGCATGTTGTCACGGCCTCAATGCAATTTAGTGTGTGTGATATTTTCACATGAGTGCATGCACACAAGTATGGCTCTTGCTTGCTGGGATTACAGCTTTTCAGTGCTGGAGGGTAGAAATCCTGTTGACAAATCATATGTGAGAATGTGTTCTATAAGACTTGGATTTGGAAAATGTATATGTTCTATATCTTTTCCCCTAATTTTGAAGAATTAAAAGTATATTGGTTATTTTTAAAAAGTCAGCGTTGGCCGGGCATGCCTTTAATCCCAGCACTGGGAGGCAGAGGCAGGTGGATCTCTGTAAGTTCAAGGCCAGCCTGGTCTAATAGTGAATTCCAACTACAGGGAGACCCTGTCTCAAAAAGACCAAAAAAAAGGTCAGTGTTGTTCTTGAAGTAAATCAGTGTTGAATGCATTATTCACTGAAAGAAATTCTTAGGAATTCAAGGGTGTAATAATACTCCTTTAAAGTAAAATATGCAATAAGGAGTTTAAAGCTATTTTGAAAGTATTTTTACCCTGTGTGGTGGCACACACCTTTAATCCCAGCACTTGGGAGACAGAGGCAGAGGCAGAGGCAGGTGGATCTCTGAGTTCAAGGCCAGTTTGGTCTATATAGTGAGTTCCAGGCCACCCAGGACTACATAGTGAGACCCTCCCTCAAAATATGTATATATTTTAATATGGGTATAATCACACATGCCTGTAATCCTTGTACTTGGGAGACTGAGGCAGGAGGCTCACTATGAGTTCTAGACCAGCTTGGACTGTATAGTGTATTTAAGGCTAGTCTGGGTTGCATAGTGAGAACTTGTCTCCAAAAAACAAAAATGGAAAATATATTTGAGATGTTCTAACATTAAAGAGTCAGAATCTCTTATGCATATTTGGGAAAATTAAATTAGCTGGAGTTCTTAAATAGTAACCAAGACAGTAAGTAAATGCTTCTTGGCCAACTTGGCTAATGATTGGTCTAACATATTTGAATATTTATTGTTATATTTGAATGTTTATTAAGTTACCAAGGAAAATAGCCTTAAAAACCTTTGTCTTGTATTTGGTTTCTTGTTATGATGCTTTAAAAAATTGTTATATTTATTTTAGTGGTCTTACAGTAAAAAAGTTTGAGATACAGATGTTTACTGTTTGTGTATGTACTTGAAACCCTTTAACATCTTTTTTGAAGCATTAGTCATTCATGATCAGTCAGTATTGTGTAAGGACATAAAACATATTAAATGGTATGTCAGTAGTAGAAAAGTGCTGAGTCACTACTCTACTGCCAGTCTTCAGATGGTATCAGCTGTTTTCAGTGGGGATAAAGGGTTCCTGTATGAGCTGTACTTCTCCGTACCCCTCAGCAGCATCTAGGTCTGAGTGCACAGTATGACCTTGTCTCTTACACTGGAAATCTGTTGTTGACCAGAGTTCTGTATGTCTTACGTGTGGAACTGGTCTCTGAGGCAGAAGAACCAGGAGAGTGAGCAGTGTCACGTAGGAGAGGTTAGGTATACCGGTGCATACTCAGAGTCTGGGCGCTCACTGTCAGACCATGACCATTTATACTGCAATAAACCATGGACAGGGAGTTTGTGGTTACTAGTACCTCTAAAATTTATGTTGATCCTGTAGTTTATTAAATGTATAATAGCATTGCATCTTTAAAACAATTGTTATCTACATTAATTTAAAAAGAAATACATTAATGGCCAAATGGGTTGACCTAAATCTTCAATTTGCTGAAACTGAATTTTCTTGTTTCACGGTATCTGAATTGGAAGAAACAGTGGGAAATTTATGATCAAGGGAGCTAAGGGTACTTTCCTGAGAGTGTTACGTGTTGTGTCTCTAGACACTTACTGTCTCTCTGCTAGCTCACTTTCCACCTGAGGCACACTGTATTGCAGTGAGGACCCAGTACTCTTAAGTAGTCGGCATCTGTTTATTCTTGGGGGAATGGTAGTGTGGTGCCTTCCTGTTTGACCTTTGGAAAGGAACAAGGATGGAACTGGTGTACAGAAATGCTGAGTAGGCAGATGTGCTTGTGGATGAGACTCCTTTCCTCTGTCCCTTTTCTCCCTTAGACACGTGCTTCCTACTTGTCTGTGGTCTGCGATACTGTGTGGTTTCTCATCCTTGGCATCCACACTTTGTTCAGCCAGCTTGCTTTTTGTGAAATGAAACACAAAGACTTACTCGTTTGTTTTTATTCAGTTTAGAAAAATAACTAGAATGTTTTCATTGGTTAGGAAAGGGAGGGGGCTTATAGATGATACATAGTTGTGTCAAAGAGGCTTCTTTTTTTCTTTGAGACAG